TAATGTGCTTCTTATAGTAGACAGTGAGACCGATGAAACTTCTAACCTCAGTCAAAGTGCATGGCGCTGGCCACTTGCGCACCCTTCTGACCTTTCCTTATCGATCTCAGTCCCTGATGCGGAAACAGCATGCCCTAAGTTTTAAAATTGTCTCGTAGGTCTATACATTTCGCCGGCTTAGGAAAGAGCCCTGCCTGCTTTAGGCCGTTGAATACCACACGCAGCTTATGCAAATGGTCTTTGAAGTCCCTCTCAAGTGCGAAGGTGTTGTTCAGCTGCACTAAACAGATCGCCGGAATGAACTATGCGAGAAATTGGTTCATAAGTATTTCGAAGATAGACCCATTAGCCAGATCAAAGGCCATGGTTTCAAATTTGTATGGCCCATAGGGAACTGAGAAGGCAGTTTTCTCACAGTCGGACAGCCTAACTTCTACCTACAATCATCCGGTTGCTAAACCTAGCGTTGAGAAAGTCCGTTTACCCGACGGGACATCTACGGTTTCGTCGATCCTAAGTAAAGGAAGAGAACCCGTTGTCTTCGTTTAGCTTGTGATAACCAACGAATAACCGTTTCATGGTTAGGACGACCAAGGGGAAGTAACGGACTTGATCATCTTCTAATCAAATATTTTATCTATCATCGCCTTTAGCTGTAGCTGGTTGAACACATGCAGCCGTCGATTCGAGGTCTTGCTTTCTGTTTAAATATGAATACAGGACGATTTCGGCGGTTGGTTCACATGACTTATAGGCTCAGTAGCAGGGCTAATTTACTCATAAATTGAAGGGTAATTGAGTAGAAACTCTATCAAAATCCTCAAATAATAAGCAGGTTCAACTAATCTTGGATTTGAGTTTTTAAATAGCTCTGCATAATCGGATTTGAAAAGGAAGCAGATAACGACGTGGCATTTGAAGCGACTTTGTCAACAATTTTCCATTTCTTGCAGATAATCAATCGCTTCATTGAGGATCTTTTGGGAGTTGCAATGGATTTTAGTAGGCAGACTGTTTTTTTTCCTGGGATTTCCAATGGTAAGGGACTCCTGAGGCTTGGTACTAGCTGGGAGATCGCCAACTATAGAATCGTCCCGAGAGTTATCGTTCGCCAAGTTCGTTTGGATTGTGCCTTCCTGGCGTTAACGAATATAAATTCCTAACTCGTGCGTCAGGGACAGACATGCTCTTCATCCAGTTACTTGATTGATTCAATACTCCAAGAACGTAATGTGGGCGAGGATATTATACTACAGGGTGTCCCAAAAGATGTATACACATTTTAGCTAATTGTAAACTTGGTGTTAATTATTTCAAAAATGTAAAAATATTTAAAAGTATATTTTTGTTGTGTTTCCACTACATGCTCTCGCATTATGCAACGTTGCCATCGGAAAAGTAATATCCCAAGATGAGTCCACATTCTTAATGACGATGATCTAGAGTGAAAAGTACAGTTTGGCGAAGGGTATTTGGAACAATTTCTGGATCAAAATGGACGACGGTTTTAGAACTTGCACTGAAGAAAACAATAAAAGGATACTTGTAAATATTGTTTCATTTTTGAGGCAATTAAATCATAATAAACACCAAATTTACAGTTATTCAAAATGTATATACATTTTTTGGGACACCCTGTATAAGTACAGCACAGTGACGTAGAAACGTGGTAAGGGAGACTTACTACAATAACATCGAATAAAACGTAAAAGTTGAAGGGTAATAAGTAGGGAGTTAAATCCTGCGATTAGATCCATTTTTTCCGTGTCGACCACGTCCGAAGAACAATTAAAACCATCCCAATTACACGTCTCTAAGGCGCATCTTGCTTAATCATGAACCCCAGCTTCAATAATTGCACCGTTACGGGATGATGGGGACAATGGCTTCTAAGTTGGCTCATGCTAAACTCGGAGGATAGGTAATACTATTTTCAATTATTTCTTTTCGTTGTAACTTAGGGTACAGGTAAATGACGGAAATATCAAAAAATTGGAAGACGGGCAAGTTTCAAACCGCATTCAAAAAACAAACAATATTTCCTGGATTTATTATGCAGTCTCAATTGTGGTATGTCTATGTCGATTTCTGCACTGCAAAGTGTAACCTTCGTTTGCGTTTCTCGTTACATAGACATTGAGATCCCGGTTGCTGAGACGAAGACGACTCGATAGCTGGGCCAATACTATCGATATCGATATATTTCGATATCGAAACGTCAGGCGAATAAAAGAATTGTCCCAGCGATCGAGTAATCCTTGTCTCAATTACTTCCTAGG